AACGATTCCAGTAATATTTGCAGATGATGTGTAGCTTTGTTTATCGTTTACCGACGAATAAAGTGCATGTGAACGAGAAACCATTTCTCTACCTGTAACAGGCAAAGAATACAACGGTCACATCTGGAATTCATGGTTTTCGAGACAGAGGGCACGAATTTTCAGAGCATGTAAAAGAATTGCTGCTGAGTGTTAAATGTTCTTGAAATGCATCAAAATAACTTTTCATAAAATTGGTGAGAAGTGACACCTCCATTATAATTCTGCAGCAGTTGCTATAGTTGCTACATTTTGAGCCATAACACCACGGTGACCGCACAGACATTGTCGTTATTGTAGTATGATCGCTCTCAGGGGTTAAATACATGGAAAACATCGTTTCCTGCTATTAGACTACTATACAGACAGCGAAAAACTGACCATAATAAGTAATTTCTTTTCGGTAATACAGCATTCCGGGAAATTAATGAAACAGGCAGATATATCGGTGCGTATATACTGACAACAATTATCCCAGTGACGCTCATGTTAGAAATTTCTTCGAAACACTGGCAGGGAACATGATTTAACCTCATCCATTCAGTCATTCACTCGTTCACTCATTCCTTCCACACATCTTTCATTCATTAAATTTTCAAATACGTCATTCATTTTGAATAGTGGGCGGCAGCAGCCTCAGGAAGTTTCTGTAACCCTTCTCATAATGAACTTAAACGAGGCATAACAATCGAAAAAGTCTGATGCATGTATTTAGGGTTGATGGACACCAGAATAGTTGTAACCATTATTCTGATGTCTGCTGCTGCTCTCTGTATTGCACAAACAGGAAATGAAAACCATATTTCCCTTGTTTCATTTTTGAAAACGCTCTATCTAGGGAAGAAAGTAAACAAGTAACTGACCTTAATTCATTCAGTGCTAAATGGGAATTAACACTTCTGAAGCTCGTATCGAGTTGCAGGTATAAGAACTATGTACAATAATTATCGATTTATCGTGATTAGATGGGAATCATATTGAAACTAGAAAAATAATTAATTATTCATAACTACAAAATATTTTTTGTAAATGACCCATCCGTTGCCTGTTCCAAGTTTTGATGAGAAAAAAGGAGGGTTTTTAAATATGGTAAGATCTGTCGTAGCACCTAGCAATCTTCCATTCAGGGTATTTCATCTATCGAACGTTATACCGGTTCGTTTATTACCCTCGCTAGCAAAGGCTACGCAGGCTGTTAGGCAACTGAGGCAGACTGCGATAAGTGGTCCATAAGAAACTGCTGCGCACCGTCTAGCAACTGTGGAAAGGGGCAAAGGTACGGCGACGGCTGTTTAAGATCGACAAGTAGAAGATGAAGGTACCAGTCAGCAACGGAGTCGCCACCTTTTCTCATCGGAGAAGGCAGACAAAGCGATTATCATGCGTCAAGAAATTTACACAGGAATGATACCGAGAGTGGGAACTCATAGTCAGAGATTGGACGTTCTGTTCACTCAAAAGGAGATGGCAGGAGTTAATTGATTAGCCAAAAAAGTACTGACTGAATACGTCTGAATTCTCAATAGAGCGTTAGGGCTCTGGAATTCTGAGCCTTTGTGGCTGAAAGATACACGACTAATACATCGACTCCACAACCTGCTGTCAGGCAGGCGTTGGTGTTCTGGTAAAGCATAGCCAGGCTCACAAAATCATTGAATGAAAACCTGTCAGCAGAAAACTGGCAATCGTCATAATGAAATGATAACGGGCTTAAGTTTTGATCATGATAAGAGACTGGACACCTAATTCTGAGGGAGAACCTGAGGGACGGAGAAAGTGGTCTCCTTGAAACGCTGATTACGGAACACACCATTCTGATCAGCGATTTCAAAGAACATAAAGTGGAAAGGCGCGAGTAGAAAAATCAGGCTTAGTGACCTCAACAGTGACGGCATTAAGTTGCCGTGGCCCTATGCAAGCAATATTCCGTCTATTACGACACTTTTTTCCAGGATCAAAAAGTGTCTGGCACAGATGGTTAAAGAAAGCTTGTGTACAGAAATCCATTATTAATTTGTTAAGCGCGTCGTCTGAATAAGAACCCTCAGTAATGCATGCTCGCGTTAAGAAAAAAATGCATGTTGTCCA